ACCAAGGATACTGAGTTTCTCTCTGCTCATGGAAAGGGCCAAACTCCACTAGACTTGGACAAAAACTTGCTGGAAGCCGAACAATTCCCAGAACTTACCCAAGCTCTTACCAGATTGGAGAGAGTGTTGAACACCTGAGACATTCAATAGAGACCCCAGAAGGTACATCTTAGTAATAGGGCTTAATTAACCCTAAGTAAAAGCTACTGTGGGCCTATCCTGACAAGGCTTTAAAAGTCTGAAAAGGGTCAGGCTGATCTGGAAATTACCTAACTGCTTGTCAAAACAGTCTCACTTTTTAAAGTAAGAAAACAAAATCCAGACACTCAACAGTGTACCATTTACAATGACTAGTAGCATCCAAGAAAAAAAATTATTAGACATTCAAAGATGCAGGAAAATGTCACTCATAACCAAGAGAAAAGTCAGTCAAATGATACAAACCTAGAAATGACAGAGAATACGAAATTAGCAGATAAGGACTTCAAAACAGCTGTTAAAAATACACTCAAATTTAAAAGAAGAGAGAAATATAATAAAAGAAATGAAAGGTATAAAAAAGAAGCAAATGGAACTTCTAGAACTGAAATATATATTTGAGATTAAAATGCAAAGGAATAGGAGACTATTATGGACAACTTTATGTCAATGATTTCAATAATTTAGAAGTAATAAATAAATTCTTTGAAAGTCACAAATTATCAAAACTGGCCCAAGAAGAAATAGAAAGTGTCATAGTTGCATATTTACTAAAGAAATAAGAGCTACTATTTTAAAACCTTCCTGTAAGGAAAATTCTTGGCCCGCAAACAAGGAAAACTCTAGCCTAGATGACTTCACTGGTGACTATCTGATGTTTAAGGAAGAAATAACTCCATCCCTTTACAAACTCTTCCCAACATTTCCCAACTCATGTGAGGCCAGTTTTACCCTAAATCAAAACCAGACAGACATTATAAGAAAAGTATAAGTCAGTATCCTTCACAAACACAGATGTAAAACTTCTTAGTAAAATAATAGCAAATTGAATTCTGCAATATATTATAAAGAAGAATACATCCTAACCAAGTAGAGTTAATCCCAGAATACAAGGTTGGTTTAACATTTGAAAATGAAATCACTGTAATTCACCATATTAACAGAAAGAGAGAGGAAAAACTGTGAGCCATCTCAGTTGATGCAGAAAAGGCATTTGATAAAATTTAACACACATTCATGTTAAGAACTCAGAAAACTAGGAATAGAAAATAATTTCCTCAACCTGTTATGAAAAATCTACAGCAAACAATATACTTATGAAAGACAATATGTATTTTTTTCTCTAAAATTGGGAACAAAGCAGAGATTATCTACTGTCACCACATACTGAGTATCATACTGGAGGTCCTGGTTAATGCAGTGAGGTAAGAAAAGAAATAAAGGGTTAGAAAGGAGGCAGTAAAACTGTCTTTTTTCACAGTATTCATCAGAGTAATGCCCATTAAAATCCTAATGCAATGCTACTTCACACCCATTCTAAAGTTAAAATTTAAAAGACTGACAGTTCAAGTATTGGTGAGATTATGAAACTGTTGGAACTCTCATACAACGCTGATGAGAACATAAAATGATACAATCACTTCAGAAAAATCTGCCAGTTTGTATAAGCTAAAGACATACTCACCATATACAATAATTCTACTCCTAGGTATTTTCCCAAGGGAAATGAAAACTTATGTCAATTTAGAAGAAAGACTCTCACTACAATGTTTATTGCTGCTTTATTTACAATTGCCAAAAACTGGAAGCAACCTAATGTTCTTCAGGAGATGAACAGCTAAACAAATGGTTACATCCACACAATGGAATACTGCTCAGGAAAAAGAAAGGAACAGACTACTACTACCTAACAATAATGGATGAATTTCACAAATATTCAGAGTGAAAGAAGCATATACAAAATGGTACATAACGTATGATTCTATTTATATGCGATCCTAGAGCAGGCAAAATGAATCTATTGTGAGAGAAAGCAAATCAGTGGTTGCCTAGGGTGGGGGATTGATTGCAGATATGCACAAGGTGACATTTTGGGATGATGGAAATGTTCTACATTTGATTTTTGTGGTGGTTACACAGGTGTATACATTTGTCAGAATGCATCATACTGTATTTTTTTACATGGGTATATTTTATAATATGTAAATTATACCCTCAGTAAAGTTTCCTTTATGGCATAGCCTTCTGTAACTTTTTCCCTCTTTCTCCCTTAAATTCAGACATCTGTTCTTCCTCTGAATTTACCATAGCATCTTGTTTGGCCCTCCCTAACTCCTTTTCCTTTTATCTGTTTGTGTCTGACTGGGTTATAAGTCTTTCTTCATCTTTGTTTACCCTGTACACCTTGCTTATTGTAATCTTTCAATACATATTTGTTAAACTGTGTTAATTTAATGTCAAGAGTTATCAGCTATTGCTTTGATCACAATTCTAAAGGCTAAAAAGAATCACAGTTCTGGCTATTAGCAAGACAAGGCTATAAAGCAAGCAAGAGTTGATAGGCATCTTTAGGGCAATCCCATTTTACAGTCTGTGGCATTGGGTGGCACACACATAGAAGATGAGTGCTCCTGGGCCCTGTGGGAAGTTGTTGTTAAAGCAAGACACCCTGTATTGGTTGTGAAGGCCTGGAGGATTTAGGTAATGTAGACTAACTAACAATGTATTTGACTCCAGTAATGAGTGAAAATTTGATAAAAGAATCACAGAAACTTAATATTAGAAGGTACCATGGATACCATTTAATCCAATCCATTATTAAACAGATCCAGAGAGGGTAAATAACCTGCCTGATGCCACACAGCAAATAAGAGATAGGGTTAAGACTGGAACCCAACTTTCTACCAAGTTCAGGACCAGGAACTTAACAAAGTGGAGAATTTGCTGCCTGTGGAAGTTCTGATGAGTTGCCCTTAGACAAAGCTTCCATTAGGTTGGGATTTGGAGTTAAGCATACAGGGAGGTACAAGAGCAAGGGTCAGGAGTCAGCTGTCATTACCTGGGTAGAACCAAAACTGAACCATGAGTAGGGCCAAAAGTTGATTTACATGTTCCTAGCGATGTCTTTACTTCATTTATCCCTGAGAAGTCTGATTTCACTTGTAATTGAAACCTATCTTGTATACTTGTTGACAGATATTCTACAGTAAGAGTACACTGTAGCTTGTTGAGGAGGAGTTAGTACATAACCTAGAATATTGTTGAATTCCGCAGGCATGTTAAAACAATCTAAATGGAGTTTATCTCCCTCTTAAACCTTCCCTTTTTTCACTATTCTCTGTTTGTGTGTAAGTTTACTGCAGATTGGGAGTGGTAATAGTTGCTGTTTTGCATTCCCTTGGTTTTGGATTTCATTTTTTTAAGGACAATATTGTCAGTTTTATAATTAAAGTGATTTTAAGTGGTCATTTTGAGTTTTAATGATGAAGGACATTGAGGTACAAAAGACAGCTTTGAAAGTTACAGCAAAGCATGCTCCTTAGATGAGTCCTTTGAATGAAAGAATAATAATGTGGATGGTGATGATGAAGGAATAGAAGCTGCTGCTGTTTAATGTATTCTCCACTCTCAGTATATGGATGCAGCCTCTGAATTTTACAAAGGAAATAATCATCAGCACGGCATCTCTGTTCTCCTATGGACTGGTCTTTTTGTAAAGCAGCCTCTTGGTTTTCTTAGTAAAAGTGTCTTATTTTAAAATATATCTCTAGACACTCCTGGTAGGCCTGGGAAAATGTAGATTGCTTCATGCCTCTTCAAAATTCCTTTCAAAGAAGAATCAGGTGCAATTTGTGTTTTTGAGATAGAGAGGAGGAGTAGATAGGAGGAAGGAGGAAATCTTAACTTTGCTTTGGGGGGAGGAAAAAATCTTTCAGTCCTTTGCTGACACCTTAGCTTCTGCATTAGTCGTATGTCCCTTCCTCCTTGGCCATGGGTGGACCAAGGGAATAGCAGTCATTTGCAGGTTTGTAAAGGGGCAGTGCAAAGAGAAGAGAAAAGCTGAGAAAGAAAAATGTGGGGCTCCCCACCCACCGTAGGCTTTTACAGTTGTATTTTTAGATCAGTCAGTGGTTTCTGGATATTTGGCCTCCTGTTTTGCTCTTTTATTTCCCTATTTTTGACGTTGTAAAACACAGTGCTAACTTTCTAGCTTTAACCGTGAGATAGTATCCAGAGTCCAATTTTTTTAAATGTTAGAATGAAAGTCGACTATAGCGGGAAACTGGTGGGCACAGTTAATACTGATGTTGGAAAGAAAAACCTTTCTTCTACCTAGTTGGATCTGAATGATAGGGAGCCTGCGAGTTAACTGAAGATAGTGAGTCATCGGGTAGAAGCACTCAGTAATGGGTAACTCACTAAATAGCCAAAGGTAAAGGTTTGTATACCAGTTTAACAGAAAGGGGGACTTAGGGCTGCAGAGAATAGAAGATTTTGATGTGCTTGTTCATACAGTTTTGGGGGGATGTCCTGGTGCCCATAATCAGGGGCTATGGCAGCTGAACCACAAAGCTTGGCTTTAAGTCAGATAAGACTGACTTTAAGTCAGATAAGAGAAGTTCAGCTAAGATTTCTTTGTGTACCTGCTGTTGGGGTTTTGTCCCTCAGTGATTTTTTTTAATTTACTTTTTATTGTTTGTTTTACTGTTTTTTAATTGATAGTTTGATGGTTTTTAAAACATTTTCACTTTATCTCATTTGGTTCCCACAGTACTTTTTACGTATACAGGGAAAATACTATTATTCCCATTTCACATGTAAGGAAACAGATTAAGAGAGGTTAACTATTTGTTCAGAGCCACACAAGTAATTATGGAGTCAAGATAAAATGTTAAGGTATTCACATTTCTTACTACATCTTTGGAGTCCCAAGTTTAGTACTAACAAACTGAATAATTTGTTGTCAGTCTGTAAGTGGTTTAAAAGTGTCAAGACTGAGTAACATTTTGTTTGTTTTATAGGAGAAGATGGAGTAGACTGGTTCATCAGCGACAAAGACGTTGAGGTAAAATCAAAATATTTTTGAAGTTATGAATAAATTTATAATTTTCTTTGATTCTTATTTCCTTTCCCTTCATTGTGCTAACTTAATAAGCTTTTTAAAAATAACAGCGGTTCGAGTATCTTGTTAGAAAAAGTTTGAAAAGTCTGTGGGTGATTGAATTTTTCAGAAGCGTAGTTCAGCCTTGATTTTTGTCAGTCAATTAATTGCCATAATGATTTAGTCCCCTTTCCCTTTTGTTTCTTCTCTGCTATGGTGAGACCTCTCAGCCCATTTTGCCTAGTACCACTTAAGATCAACACCGGAAATAAGTGCTTCTTCAGTGTAAGGAAATGGTTAGTCTATATTTAGGATGTGGCAGGTGTTTGTCTTTTTCAATTATTAGCCTTAATTGTGACAGATGGCTGGAAAAAGAATAATTTTACAACTTGGTATAAGAAAAGTTTTAAGAGACAATTAGATTTTATCTCCTGTTGAGGCCTACTTGACCAATTCAGCAAGATAACAAGTAAAAGATGAAAGTTTTTTCAAAGATGGAATTCTACCAAACAAGATAAAGTATAGTTGGCATTTAGGTATTCTTCTTTAAATAGTTCATATGATGTATTTTGCTAATATTCTCTTGCAGGATACTGGATTTTGGCTAGAACATGGGACAGCTAGAACTGGGTCATTGTAGGCAGAGTAGATCTTTTTTTTTTTAGGCAGAGTAGATCTTAAAAGGACTCTGGAGGAAGGAAATTATCTCATTCTCTCTTAGAAATTATAATCGAGTTTGTCGATGGTAACCCTGGGCTGTTCAAAAGAAGGAGTGTAGTTGGTAACTATGTAGTTTTATAACTTTGTAAAAGACAAAATCATAAAAAACACCAATTCCTAACTAAAAACTTAAATAAGATTCTCATTCAGGTATGTGTCAGCAGCATCTTTGACTCTGAATGTCACTAGAGTGTCTAAATGATGCATTTCAGTGCCCCTTCTAGACCCTAACTGTAAGTAGATAAAGATATAAAAGAAATGGAACCGTATGGAGAAGGATAAAAGAATAGGGAGGAGGGGGAGACAAAAAGCAGAGTTATCTTCATGGCCCCCCCTTTAAATTTTTCTAACTTCTTTTAAGAGACAAAATTCCCTTGTTGCTGGGTTCCAAATTGAACAGATTATGACTGTTAATTCTCTTGAATGGAATGAAATAATTTTAATTCTTGATCTTTTTTTCCCTTAGGCACAGATAGGTAATAAAAGATCATCTGGAAGATGGACCCACCGATACTATTCAGCCAACAAAAATGTAACCTGTAGAAATTGTGACAAATGTGGCCATTTGTCAAAAAACTGCCCCTTTCCACAAGTATGTGAAATATGTAATGTAATGTTTCTTTCCACATTGTTAAAATCAAAATCTTAGGGCTGGAACCCTGACAACCTTAGAATTCAAATGTTATATATGCATTAAATTTCACATTAAATGTTCATGTAGGTCACAGCCTAGAGTAGTAGTAAAGAACAATAAATTTATATTCACAATCAATTTCAGCATTCCATTAGTAGTTATATAACCTTAGGCAAATCATTTCACCTTCTGTCCTCCTCTTTTCTCATCTATAAAATGGGAAGATTGAATCAAATTGGTTTCTGGGACTCACTTCACTTCTAAACCTTCTACTTTGTGACATGATTTGTTTCATTGTGGGATAATTCTCATGTTTAGAAAATTAGAATTTTAGAATTTATAAATGTTTATTGATATAAATTGTGTTAAACGGATACATCAACCTTTAGAACAACACAGAACTCTTAGACATTCCCTGACACATACTAAGCCCTTAACAAACACTCCTTCCCTTACCTACTCCCTCTTCTAAATGATTGTCTTTCAGATATTTGAGATGACCCTCTTGCTTCCTCTTTGTCTTTGCTCCTTCAGGCAAAACAGACTCTCTCTATTTCTTGTTTGACTTAGCTTCCAGACCCTCATCACCTTACTTTCCCTCTCAGACACAATCCACTTGTCAATATTCTACAAGACAAGGCATAAGAAATAATTGCCAGCTGATAGTACATGCAGACTAAACCTTTTTGGCAACCACAGGATACAGATAGCTTTTGTTAAAGGTCTGATTTCAGACATTTTGTTTGATTTTACAATTGTGCTCAAGATTTGACCTTCATTGGGTTCCCAAATTTGAAATAACTTTTCATTGAATTATACTGAGGAAGAAAAAGTAATCTTCTATTTGAGACTGAAATACTTTAGCTAAAGAAGTTTTCTGTTTGTCTGCCATCTAGAAAGTCCGCCCCTGCTGCCTCTGCTCGGAGAGAGGACACCTCCAGTATGCCTGTCCGGCCCGCTTTTGCTTAGACTGTTCTTTGCCTATGTCTTCCACTCACAGATGTCTTGAAAGACCTTCCTGGAGAAAACGGTGTGACCGATGTGATATGATAGGCCACTATGCTGATGTGAGTATCCTGCTTATAACTAATTTGTCAGGCTTTGGGTGCAATGTGCCAATTTGTAACCATCAGCCAGCCTACTTAAAAGAATGTTTACTCTGTACTGTATATTATGATTGTCATGTTCTTTTGGCCACTGATCATGTAAATCACTGCTCTAAAATATCAGGATCCTACTGAATGGTGCACCAGGACCAGCATCAACAAATATTACTAATCCGTTCTAACCCCTTTTGCTTAAAGTGCTTCCTGAATAAAGGTTGAAAATAAAGAGTTACGTAATAAGTAACATGTAAAATTTGTGTACCTATTCATTCACAGTTAGATGAAAAAATAGATATAAACACTTAACAATTGTATACAAAAGTCTGTATGAAGCCTGATTTGATGCTGCTTACTGGTGGCTCTTGCTGGTGTAATGGTCTCGTGCAAGAAAGACAAGCCACCAGTACTTTAAATCTGCATATCTTAGTTCTTTCTTTAGATTTAAAAAGACAAAAGTAGTTTAGAAGACACTTCAGTTACTTTTAGCACATTGTTATTTTAGACACCATTTTGCATCATGTTGTCAATAGGGTTTTAGTCATAGTTTCAAAGACCAGAAGGGCTACAGAAGTAAATATCTAAAAAAAGAAAGTAAGAATCTTTTCCCTTTAATTTGTGCTTCCCAAAGACATGATACAAAGCACAAATATTTTTAAAATTTTGTTTATATTGAAGTGTACCCATAGCCTTTTGCTTAAGAAAATAATATGGCTTTCTATTGGGATGAATTTCAGAATAAAATAAACTAGAATATGAATGTTTGTTATATGTGTTTCTTATGTTAATAACATAATAATTATTTATTGTAATTTTAAAAGGGTCTTTATAAACAAATATAAATAGGGTCACTGTCCTACAACTTAATTTTTTTCCACCTAATTCTTTGTGAATGGGTCTCCATATCACCTCATAAAGCTCTGTCTTTCTCATGGATAACTTTTATTCCATTTATACAATTTCCTCAGTCATTTCTCTACCCATACATTTAGATTTATACTGTTACCCATTTCTTAAAGCAAACAGTGCTGCTTTAAAAATCTTTTTACATATTTGCTTGTATGTAGGATTATTTCAGTAAATCAAATTCTAAGTGGAATTGTGTAATTAAAGGATATATACATTTATGTCTGCATAAATATTGTCAAAGTGCTCTTCTAAAAGATTATACCAGTGTATCCACCTTCTAGCAATGTTTAAGAGTACGCTGGACACTAAATGTGTCTTTAAAATGTTTGGCCAATCAGATAAGGAAAAAAAATCTTATTGTTGTAATTTATATTTTTTAGGCCACTAGTGAGGTTGAATATGAGTCTCAAGACAAAATATCAAGACAGAAGTTGTCATTTCATTCCAAAGTAGTTTAAACCTATTTTTCAATATTTACTAAGTCTTAAAAATAGTAAATCCTAAGTTGTCTTAGTTTTATTCTATGATTCTCTGCATTAACTTGTCAATTTTAATTTTTTACCAAGGTTTTCCAGCTTTGCAGTTAAGTTTAAAAGCATTTTTTTTTTACTCCTCTCAAAGAGCTCTTACAGATATGGTCTTATTTGCCTGTGATAACAGAAGAGGCTCAGACATTATAAGCAGTTTTCTTTAAATAAAAAACTGTAGTACAGAACAGTTAAGAATGGTTTATTAAAGGTTCTATTATCAGCTGTGAATTAAATCTATAGCTAATTCTGCTTAACTTCTTAATTTTGGCCTTTAATGTATGTTAAATTCTTTATCTAAAATGGCCTTGAGGATTAATAACCCCAGTGAATATGAGTTTTTAAGATAGGGTTAGGCTGTGGCCGGCTTCAAAGAAGGCAGCACCTTTTCCCCTAAATCTGCAGAGATCTACCATTGTTTTTTTGTTTTGTTTTGTTTTTTAATTACATGGTGAAGGTTCTGACACTAATTGACCTTTTGCCAGCCTGACCATGTGGTATAGGATTCCCTTGGAGGCCAATCAAACCTGAGCCCCAGTGACTCCTTCTGAAGAAACTTATGGTCCTTCTACCATCCCAGAAGCTCTTCATGAAGATTTGCTTGGAAGCAGTTTCATTCTGGCCCCAGGTTGCTGGAATGAATAGCTGAATAAGCTAGTCCCACACATGCTTTAAATCTGTCTTGAAACTTGGCTCTTCACAGAAAATACTGTTTTCCCTGCAGCCCTCTCAAATGCTTGCTGCTTGTTCTTTCTTGACCCACATACCTCTGAATTAAGTTGATTAGGATCAACCTCTTTCTCGCTTGCCATAGCTGCTTCTAAATCATTACTCCTCCCTCTTGGTGTAGAAATCTTTGGTGTATTCAAGGCTCCATCCCTCTGAAAATACTGCTCTCCACCCTTCTTTGTCATTTTCATCTTTCCACCTGCTGGACTTCCTGCTCATTCACAGAGGATTTATGTAGCCTTTGGTAGCTATAGATGCTCTAACCTCTAATAAATTTAAGAAATTTTAAAAACTTCTATTTTTACTTTATACATCCCCTATAGCCTCACCAGGATCTCTAATGCCAGAGTACCAGTTAAATGTGCAAAGAGAATTAGTAATGAAAACTCATGAGTCATATTTATATGCTTGCTGTAATGACTCTTTCCTGACCTCTGCTTGGAAAGTTCTTCCTTTGTTAACTTCTGTGTAAAAGTATTGGGATGAAATTCCAGAGTAAAGGATAGAAAGATGGCTCAAGGCCTACTAAAGTCAACCTGCATCATTGGTACCCTCCAAAGGAAGAGAATCTGAATGTGGAAAGAATCTTAATTCTGAATCCTCCATAGGTTCTCTCCTCTTGCCAACAATTTTTAAATAAACAGATTTTTAAGTTGTCTATACATGTTTATCTTGCACACAGTCCTATTCTGTGAGATACATCTGACATCTCCAAGATAATAATAGCTATAATTGGCTGAGTACTTATAGTGTGTTAAGTACTGTGCTAAGTTCACTACCTTCAAGGGGAATGGAGAGTGCTTTGTTCACTGTCGTATCCTCAGTGCATAGTAGGTGCGCAATAGATATTTGTGATTGCATCAGAGTCATTTATGTAATCCTCACAACCACCATATGAAATAGATACTATTTATTACTCCCATTTTACAAAAGAGAAAACTGAGACATTTTAAGGCTAGACTTTGCTAAGGGTTTCAAAGTTAAAATGATGTTATATTTCATGAATGGAAGTCGAGAGATTGTTCGGTTAACTCCTACTCGGAGGATCCCCTCAAGTTTCCATCTTAAACCTGCAGATTTTATGGATCTAATAAACAACTTTGATAATGAGCTTATGATATTTAAAATATCAATACATTCTAAAATAGATGAAGAAAATATTTTCCAAATAAAAACAAATGATAGTTTAAGTTTTCAGCTCTTCAAAGAATCTCTGAGGATTAGTAAAGCAGCATAGAATGCTGATTTTCACCACAGAACCAAATCTGTGATGCCTCAGAACTGTGCTTCTTACAAGAGACCATCCCCGCCTTGGCAGTCTCTATTAATTGTTGTTATTGTTGCGCATTTTCATTAAAGCATAATGACTGAGTTAATCAGTGTCAGATATAATTGAAACCCAGATCTCCTAACTTTTCTTCCTTTCTTCAGCAGTTTTTTCTCAAATTTCCCTGCTCAGTCTTCTACCCCAGTTCATAGTAAATAACTCCTTTAATCATCATGTGTAAGAATAAAATGCCATCCATTTATGGGGTGTTCAGCACTTGAATCACTACTATAAATCAGAATCTTTTAATTTAATGGGAGAAAATAATTCATAGGACATATTTTACTTGATTCTTTTAAATATTTGATGCTATGAAATTATCTCTTAAATATCACTGTATACTAAAATATTTTTAGCAATTCAAAAGTTTATTTTAAAAATGAGAACTCAATATAAACTGTGTATAGGTATTAGTGCTCAGTGAATGGCTCCTCAGTGAATATGTACATAAAACTGAAAACTAGTGTTTTTTTCAAATTGAGTATTTTATTAACATAGTAGTTGTCTTTGTAGAACTAGTATTTTTTAGTTTAATTTTGGTGAGTATTTTTTAAGTTTAGTTTAATCATGGGGATTTCCAGCAGGAAATGTAAAGTACTTAGTACAAGTGTCTTCTAGTTATTTCATGCTTGTTATCTATATAATGAACACTTGCTTGAAGATTGTTTTTGTCCAGGTAGCTATTTAAGAAAGGCATTTATTTTATCTTTAGTCTAATCTAAGGAGCACAGAATAGTATTCATCTACCTTCCACTTTATATGCTTTCCACAGTCTTATTTAGATATTATTGGCCAGAAGTAAGATTTTCTGGAACATAGTTATTAAGCTGAAAAACTAAGCTAGGATTTGAATTAAAGACTCCCTTAATTCAAATATTTTGTTTTGTGTAATAGTTATTAGTTCTACTTTGTTCAAAAACATCTCCACTGTTCCACCATCCAAATAAACTTTCTGCATTTGTATATCAAAAATTTATTGGTAGCCTAGTAAATGCAAGGTAGTATTCCAAGTACCAAAGAAATAAAAATGAATAAGAACTGGTCCTTCCTTTTGAGGAGCTCAGAGTATTATAAGAAAGGCAGATGCTTAAAAGAACAATGTAAAAAAGTGATGTTATGGAGGTGCATCAAGGGTGATGAGAATTAAATGAGAGAGTATCAGAAGACTAAACTTGGTTGATGACTTGCAAATAATAGGTACCTGGAAAGTGTAGAAAATGACATAGACCTTAGGAGGGAGCCAAGTAATTGTGCCTATAATAACATGTCATCTGTCTCTGGAAATACAAGCTGCAAAGTAATGCCATAGAAACTCTTGATCCAGGATAATGAGTTTTCCTATAATCATATGGACTTGAGACATATACAAGGGTTAGTATTTTCTGAGCACTTCCTTGTCTACCTGCCCTTATGTTCAAAGATAGGGCAAAATAAGGAAGCAAATCTCTAGCCATCCCTGGACCATTTCTCCT